AAATGCCAAAAGCGTTTTTTGTTTAAACGTTTTAATTGTCTGTACCAACACAGTCCCTTGGTCTCGTGTGGCGGAAGTTCGTCGTCCGGATCGGGATGAATATGCGGATATTTTGCCGTCACGAATTCGTACTGGTGCTGTTGTGGGCTGCAACATGATGTCAACTTTTTAGTAATACTATTCGGAAACAATCCGGATAATGCGGCTCAACAAGAGTGGCCAAGCGGAAGAAGCCTGCAAAATGCCTCCTTTCGGCCCGCCGTACGACACGAACAACGTGTTCGCTAAAATCCTGCGTGGAGAGATCCCGGCGGACAAGATCTTTGAGACGGATGACGTCATTGCTATACTCGATGCATTCCCGTGCACGCGAGGCCATAGTCTCTTGATCCCAAAGGTGTCTGGGTACACCAACATCGTGGACATGCCAGCGGAGGAGGCTGCCAAGCTGTTCCGGGAGCTGCCACGACTGGCCAAGGCCGTGCAGGAAGCGGTAGGGTGTGACGGTATCAACATTGTCCAGAACAATGGCAAGGCGTCCGGCCAAGAAGTGTTTCACCCGCACATCCATGTCATTCCTCGGTTTCAAGGCGACAAGTTGTTCCAATTGCCAGGTCTCGCTGACCCCATCGATCGAACTGAAGCTGCCTCGTTGCTCAACCTCATCCAAGGCAAGTTGTAAGCAGGATTGTTTTGCACGAATGGCAGTCGCCATGAGAGCCGGCAAACCACACTCCTCATGCAATTCCGCTGTCAGGACTGTTCAAATGACCCAGTAATTCATCGATACGAGCTCTTCAATTGAGCGAGTTCTCCCTGCGGCTGCGCTTGGCATACATTGCACCTGAGCTTTTCATACATGCAAAGGAGCCATGTATAACAACAGTTATTCTACACTACGCGAACATCAAGGTTCGAACAGCTACGAAGTGTATCAGGCAAGCCACCTCGTTTTCCCATCAGCCATCGTACACTGACGGCTGACGGGAAAATGGCATCCCGGCTGTGATGCAAGCTGAACCACCACCCTCGGACGAGGTGCTGATGGCCATCGAGCTAAGGACAGCTAGTAGTTACAGGAAATCCTAGTAGACCTACTGTTCTTGAAGTTCAACATTTTGACCAATCAAATCTGTTCGAGCCGCTGATGTTATCCAAACTGCACAAAAACAAAGCAGAATGCAAGCCATCGTTCATGTCCCGGAGGTATGGGCCCTCGTCGCATCGTTCCAGCCTGGGCTATACCCAGACATTGCGCGGCTCTGCCAGCGCATCCATCTCCATGAGTACCACGACTTCCAGCACTGCAAATGGTTTGTAGCTGGCTCAAGGCTCGTGCCACACCCAGCGCTCAGGTACGTCCGGCGGTTTGAGAGCTCTGGGTTTGGGCCGTTCTATTGGGAGCGCGGTGTCCATGGCGTCCTGAGGCTATTGGCATGCAAACCGGGCTTTCTCGCCATTGTGACAGCTCACGCGGCGTACTTTAATCACATCGACGTCCTCGAACAAGTTTGCCCATCCAAGTGGAGCCACCACTCGGACGCATACGTGGACCGGGTCCGCCGCATCAAGAAGCTTGCGTGGAGCAATTCATTCCGCAACATTTGTTTGGCAGACACGATCGAACCACTGGATCTAGCGGCGATTCAAGGTCATTTGGCGGCCGTTGCACTGCTGTATCGAAATGGTTACCCGTATTCCCACCACGCCCTCGACGGCGCAGCTGAAATGGGGCATTTGAACATTGTGAAATTTCTCGTCGAACAAGTCGGCATGCCTTGCACGACCAAGACGCTGTCGAGGGCCGCCAACAAGAATCATAGCCACATTGTGCAATATCTCATGCTTCACAACATCCAGCCCCTTCCTTACGATTTCAATTGTGGATGTGGAAACTACGGCGAAGTCGCAACAGATCCGTTCGCGTCGGGCAGCGACCGCTGCTGCGTTTGTACGATAATGTGACGCTATGAAATGAATCTAGTGGTTTGTACGAAGAGGGCACTCGGCATCTCGTGCGCTGCATCCGGTGCATCCACTGCACCGTGGGTCTCCCCAACTACATTTCAACAGATTTATCGCATCAGCATAATATTTATGCTAACAAATGATGTGCAATTGCAATACTTTGGACAAATGGTCATGCTGGTATTGAGACCGATACTATCCAAAGCAATAAAACCGACGATATAAAATGGTTAACAAAACGTGTATGAAACAGACACTTGCGATGTTGGAAAAAATTTACTACGTGAATTGTATTTTGAATGCCGACCATTCATTGGCTGAAATTCGTTCCAGTGGTTGCGTGGCAAACAACATGGGTTGGCCGACCGCCGACGCGCCTGACATCGCGATGACGCTTGACGCCGCCCCTCTCGACAAGGCCGTGAAGAATCTCATTTCTGAGGCTTCCGTAGTCTTCGCACGTCTCTCGAGTGGTTCCACTTCTGTGCAGGACGCTGCCTGTGCCTACCGATCGGCACTGCATACATGTGTGCGGGACATGGAATGCGGTAACGAGTTGTCGGAAGTCGTGAAGGCGTCGTTGGCGTTGCTACATCTGTGCGAGATCCTGTACTTGTCAAACTCGTCCACACTTCTGCCGTACGCGTTTGGAGCATGGATGCAAGAGCACTATGGGTCGGTGGAACTGGAAGAGTTGGACGACGCATTCCTTCAGCTACAGGGGCACGTATCTCTGGACATGTCCGACGACGATGCTGCGTACTGGCCGACAATCATCCAGCTTGTGGTCTCAGGAAACGGGCGTAAGGCATGGGAGCTTCTTTCCCGTACCCTATCTTCGTTGCATTCGAAGTACGCCGCTTCCCTTGATAGCATTCGCCACCTCCTTTTCCACATGCCCACGACGTCATCCGATGCATCGTTCAACTGGGCCGCCTGGCATGATGCAATCGACCATCTTCTGCACAACGACCCTCTCGTTCTCTCCGACTCCCACATTCGCCTGCTGCTCGAGTTGCTGTCTGGCCAGCACTTGGACCAGCACGCACGCAGCTGGCATCAACTGGTTGTGGCAAAGTGCTTGCTAGAAGACCCGAAGTCGCACCTGTCGTCGGCAGCGACTGGTCGCCGCATCGTCCAGCGTTTGGAAACTGCGTTCCCGTCGGCACTTCCTCCATTTGAGCAGATCGTGTTGCTCCTGCTTCAGTACGACTTGACCACCGCCTTGGACCACATCCATGACCTGAGCGCAGGTATGCCATCCATTCAGTGCTGGTTTCATGAGGGCAATTTGTGTCCTTTGCTGTTTCGAGTCGTTCTTGCGGCCAGATCTTCGTCGTGAATTCCTTAACCCCTTGCTCGTGCTGGACGATGGCGTTGAGTGAGTGGAGTTTGGACTCGTTCAATTTGTCTTTCATGGGCAGCCGACTGCCGCCATGGAGTTGATGTCAAGGTTCTCACGTGGGTCTGATTGACAGCGTCGTTTCCGTGGTTCCTCGCACATTTGTCCGATTTGTTGATCCGGCAGCGCGAACTGGCGCCGACAGAATCGTTTGTGCTGGCCTTTGTGCAGGCATCGCTCGTCCCGACATTGTCGTCGAGGTCCAGTCTGTGGCCTCTCGTGCCTCTGTACTTGGAGCAGTGCCCGTTAAAAGGTGCGTCCATCAACGTGCCAGCTGCACGCTTGTCGTCGCAGCGCTGACGCGTGCATGCAGGTGGCGCCCTGATCTTAGAGCTGGTGCATCGACTCCCTGTTGAATCGGACTACACTGCAACGAAACTCCTGGATGTGTGCGCCACGTACAACCTCCCCAAGGCCGCCGCCGCCATTGCGACTCGCCGCGGACAGTGGTGGGAATCAAAGCAAAAGGTGGCTATCGCCCTCACGTGGTACCTTCGTGCCAACAACGTGGACGGCATCCATGCGCTGTGCGAATCTATCGTCCAGAATCCGTCGCAGCACGGCCAGCTCGAAGCCGCCGCCAAAGTCCTGTCGACCGAAGCGCCCACATTCTCACCGATTGTGTCGTTCGTGGTGCAATACTACAACGTGACGTTGGTGCTGCGCGACTTGACGCACTTGCAACAAACTGCTGACGATTCCTCGACCAACTCCAGCCATCCAAAGCTCCATGTCGTGCAGCGCGACGCCGCGCGCCGCCTTGGTGACCTTTGTACACAATGCAACATCCCTCGCCACTTGTGGCATTCCACGTGGGCATCGATCGTCCCGCTCGTCCACTTGTCACCGCCCGTGTTTTCAAGCCACGAATTGTTCGGGCTGCTCGAAGCCCTGCAAGACCACGAGATTTCTCTGGACGGGTCTGGCACCGATGACAAGAGCCTCGTTGCCACCTTGCAACACGCCATCGCAGTGGGGTTGAGCCAGACGATGCTCGTCGATGTGTAGGGTATCGCACCCTCCCATGAATCCTAACCATTGTCGATTCCGGCATATTCATCCATGAGACGCGGATCAGCTCACGATGGCAGGTGCCGCGACCTCCGAACTGTCTGACGATACGTCCCGCAAATAGACATGTCGGTGGGTTCGCCGACCTCGGTGTTGTTGCATGGCTCCATGGTGTGGGTCACGTTCGGGTCATTTGGACATTGCGAGAGTTGAGGATGCAGACGAATTCTTGGTTGAAGGAGAGTCGTCATATGCACACCACGAGTAAACACCGCAGTCGTGCGGAAGGATGGCAGTGGGAGTTGCCACTGGCCAAGGAGAGTGCATGGACAGAGCTGTGTATTAGATTCCACGACTGCCGCGTCGACTGCCCTCGTTGCCGGGTCACTCTACGAGTTGGAACTTGTATAACACACAGACCTCGCTCAAATCGAACAATGGGGCGGTCCAAAGTCTTACTTCTCGTTGGTTTATCGAGCGGGGAGTCGTTGAGGAAGTCCAGCACGTCCGACACAAAGTCTCCGCCCTCCGACTTGAACTTGAGCGCCGCTTGGATGGCCTCTTCAAACAGCTACAGCCCATCCCACGTGGCGCACCTCGACCCAGGCGGATGGCCAAGATAAGTGTACCTTGACAACGTTTGTGCCGTCGGCCGCTGACACAAAGGAGAAACCCAAGTTGTGGGTCTCGGCAAACTTAAATTTCTTGTTTGTCACCTAACCAGTACCTTTGACGACCCCCATCAAGATCGACGCTACCTCTACGTCGACGTCGACTTTGTTTGCTGCCAGGAAGCACGGGACTGTTTCGCAGTACTCCCTGAGTTCTTTGTACCAGTCGGCCAAGTGCTGATACGTGGTTTTCCGCGTGACGTCGAATACCTACCACCACACAATCAGCCACGCCCGACTGTGACGAATCGCACGAGAATGCATGCCGCCGCGCCAAAGTAGTACGACGAATGCATGCTGTTGAATCGCTCTTGCCCGGCTGTGTCCCAGAAATCTATCGACGATGAGGAAAAACACACATGAGGCCCTCGTCGGAGGAGATGCTTTCGAGAGCGTGCCACACCGATCTTGACTGTCTTCCCATCTGGCATGGTGAAGTCCTTGCGGAATAACGTCAAGGCAAACGTAGACAACTACAACACAGATGAGGTTGAACCATGACGTGATGAGGCGGCCCGCACCTGTCGCGGCTGGTACTCGTTCATCATGTATCGCTCGACCAACTTGGACTTGCCGACGGCCGAATCACCCAAAAGGATGATCTATCCCGCCCCATCAACTCGACCTCTCTACACGACGCTCCAATTCCAATATACCTTCACGTCAGGATCGCCGAGGCCATCATCGCCTTCCACGCGGCATTCTTCCGCCATCTCCGAAGCGTCACACTGGATCTCGAATCCACACGATATCCGGATAATGGATTCTCATCCGGACATGAGTCTCGGAAGAAGCGATGATCGAAGCGGACGACATGGCATGGGCGATGCTCGTGAAGGACCTCAAGGCCGATCAAGGACATGGCCCGCTGTGCGCTGGAATCGTCATCTACGACCCACGTGGCAATGTGGTGTACGAGGAAGGGTGGTTCCGTGAGGAAACGTCGTTCGAGGCGAAGGCCGCAATGTTCGCAGTGTTGGCGGACGTTGTTCTCGCGCGTACTCACCGCATCGATCTCGATGGACATGTGTTCCATGTCGTGGAGAACGTGTACGGAAATCTGTGCGCCGTGGGGCGTCGGCGGAAGATGGGTCTCATCAGCCAGCGCTTCCCATCAGGCATCCTGGTCGCCGTGTTCCGTTATCCATACTCGTTGCAAACCGCAGTGCCTGTCGTCGCCAAATTAGGAAGGCGCTTGCGATCATAATAGTTGTGTGCGCGCCATGATGAAGATTTGCTCGGGTCCGCGCATGCCGCGAAGGACGCATGGAATCCATTCATTTGTTTATGTCGTCGCCCTGTCCACGCGCTCCTATTGCATTCGTTGGAGCTGTCGATGCATGTGATTTCGCATGAGCATGCGCAACATGGTGCCACCACAGCAGAGGAGGACGCTGGCGTGTGACGGGTCGAACTTGACGGACCACACGACCAACGTGTTGGAGGTGTTTCCCCGATCTGGAATAAAGCTCACCATCGCGTGGTACCCTTCCAGCCACATGCCTTGGTCCACGAGTTTGAAATGCACACTACCAATGCGGTCGTCTTCATTATTCTTCAGGTTTCGTGGCACTGCGACCGACGTCACGCGCTCTTTGCCATGAACTGTGTCTCGACTCGCACCTGCCGAAACCACCGTGCCCTGGACTGTGGGTGCTCCCTCGTCAAACCAGCATCGTTCGTTCCATCTCTGGAATGCAGCATACGTAGAAACACCGCGGAGGAAGATGCTAGCTTCGACTTCATGCCCGTCGGCTTGGAAGAAGATCTCGGCGGCACCGCGGTCAATGTATCGCTCCACCATGCGAAAAGAAAATGGCCAAAAGATCAACGAGCTTCATGGAGTTCAAGATATAATTATCTACATATTTGTATGCAGAATTATTCAGCGTATTTTATTACGCGCGCAATTGGCTCATGTACGATGGCGACGGGATCATCGCACGCCAACATGGCGCTTCATCTAGTCGCGCTTTTTGACGTTGCGGGCGAGAAACAGCATTCCAATGAGTCGAAACCCAAAGTTAAGGCCGAGGAGGGCAGCAACATCGAGAATCATTGATGCTTTGTCGAGCGACCCGTTCTTGAGGACCGCGGCGCCATTGCGGACACAATTTGCGCGCGTCGGATCACATGGAATGTCCAGCACAGTGCTCCAGAATGCTCGCATGACGCCACGGTATGCATACTTGAGGGGGGATATGTACTCGAGCCACGTGAAATAGTTGGGCGTGTTGTCCGTGTTTATAAACAGCCCACCGAACAGGACAAGCGGCAAGATGAGCACGATGCCAATCACTGGGGCAAGGTCAGCGCGGCGCACCATGCAGCTGACCATGTATCCGATGCCGGTGGCAGTCGAGTTGAGGAGCACGAGGTACACGTAGAACGAAAAGAACACGGTGGCATTGTCCGGGCCAAACCCGATCATGAAGTAGAGCGGGACGAGGAAGATCATGGGGAAAAAGATCTGGAACGCGAGCTCCGACACGTTCTTGGCAAAGTACCAGATCGACGACCCGTACAGCCCACCATTGTACTCGCGAGACATGATCGGCAGCTCGAGCGGGACAGCGAGAAACTCGGAATTCGCCGACGAAAACACTTGGTTGATCGTGATGAAGAACAGCACGCCGCTGAAGCTCTGAATGCCCGTTTGGGACATGGTCAAGTTCAAGTAGATGAGCCCAACAATCACCGAAATGAAGATGCTCTGGAAGAAGCGGGCTTTGAACGCCATGTGGTCGCGGATGAGCCGAGTGACGTTGCGCTTGCACAAGACGATGAACTGCCCAACCAAACCGAGTCGCGACTCAGCAAACGCAGCCAGTGCATCGCCTGTTGCGATTTCTGGTGTCGGCCGCACTTGCGACGCTTCGTGCGTGTGCCACTTCTCCACCATCGTGTGGACGCGCGAAGTCGCGTCAGCGTCCAGCTGGATGATCTGCCGCATGAAGTAGTCGGTCGGGTTCATGTACGTGGGGCAGGGGTATCCTATCGAAGCAAAGTACGCGACCGAGTCGGCGGCCGGGCCGTAGTACACGGTGCGGCCGTTCGAGAGCAAGTAGAGCTGGTCAAAGAGGGCAAACAATTCAGAGGACGGCTGGTGAATCGTGGTGAGGATCGTGCGGCCTTCGCGCGCGAGTTTCTGCATGATCTGGACCACGCTCTCGGCCATGAAGCTGTCGAGGCCACTGGTCGGTTCGTCCACAAACAAAAGCGACGGGTTCGTCAAGATCTCGGTCGCAAAGCTCAGCCGCTTGCGCTCGCCGCCCGAGATCCCCCGCACCTGGGCGTTCCCAATGCGAGTGTCCTTGCATTTTCCAAGCCCGAGCTCGTCAATGACAAACTGGACGCGGTCGTGGCGCTGCGCCGCCGTGCACGAGTTGCCCATGCGGAACTGCGCTTGAAACAGCAAGTGCTCCTCGACCGTGAGCGTGTGGTAAAACACGTCGTCCTGCATCACGTAGCACGCGCGCTTGTTCAAGTCGGCGTTCCATGGCTGCCCATTCACCTTGACGTGGCCCGAATACGCCTTGTTTCGCCCGGCAATGATGTCGAGCATCGAGCTCTTGCCCGCGCCGGACGGCCCCATGATCACGACGAGCTGGCCCGACGACGCGAGGCCGTTTACATTCTTCAAGATGACTTTGGTCTCGACGACCCGGCGCGCTTTTTGGATTTTTGCCGTCAATTCATCGATCTGCCACTCGATCGCGAGCTTGGGGACCTGCCGAAGGGCCGTGGCAGCTTTCAACGACGGCCGCGGACTGCCGTGGCCAGTCGTTGTCGCCTGCGTGTCAACGCTGACTTTGGGTGTGTTGACCGTGACAAAGTGGCTGTCGGACGCGACGTCATCGACTGGAGCAGACATGCGGCTGGAGCGAGCGGCCGGAAATTCGATGAATGCCGACTGAAGCGACGAATCGAACGCTAGCGAGTTCGACGACGGCGGGTGTTTCACCTTGAATCGTTTTTCTCGAGATTACCACGCGGTCGAGATTACGGCATTCCCAAGATAAACGAAACCGATGCGCCATCGCGTCGATCGGCGAATCCTCTGCCATTACGATCACGACGGCCTTGCTCGATCTCTGGCCACGTGGAAACGTCATGCCGGATTCGGCCCATCTGCGTTTGAATTCTTCGCACAAGCCCGTCGCGCGACCATGCCTCGACCGACAGAACCATCCGCGCCGTTTGGAATGTCCAAAACGGCCGCATGCAGTCATGGATCTCTCTTGGACAGCTCGACGACACTTGCTTCAAGGATCTCCACTGGCATGACATCGCGTCGTGAAGGAAAAAGCGTCGTCGCGAGAATGTCGTTGTGCAGGTGGCGCAGTGCCTGGAATATATTAGACATTATCGAACGACGAGCAACCAAGCACCGCCGCCGACTTAGTGCTTTTGGCGAATGTTGACCCAGAGCCAGACGACGCCGATCGTGCGAAACATGACGTTGATCGCGACGAGCGACACAACATCCACGGCGATCGAGTCCTTGTTGAGCGCCATGTTGGCCAGCACTTGCGCACCGGACGTGGCTTGGCACGGCCGGGACGCGTCGCACGGGATGAACTCGACCGAGTTCCAGAACGCCCGGCTGATCCCGCGGTACCCGTACTTGAGGGGCGAGATGTACTCGAGCCACGAAAAGTACACGGGGGTGTTGTCCGCATTGAGGAAGAGACCGCCAAAGATGAGGAGCGGCAGGATGATGACGATGCCCAAGATCTGGGCGATTTGCGGGTGGCGCGCAATGCACCCAACCATGTACCCGAGGCCGACGGCGGCGCTTGCCACGAGCACAAAGAAGAGGTAGAACGTAAAGAACACGCCGGCGTCGCCGCCAAAGCCCACCATAAAGTAGACCGGGATCAGGAACAGCATGGGAAAGAAGAGCTGAAACACCAACTCGCTCACGTTCTTGGCCACGTACCAAACCCACGCCTGGTACAGCCCGCCATTGTACTCGCGAATCATGATCGGGAGCTCGTTCGGGACGGCGGCAAACTCGGGCGTTGCGTTCCCAAAGAATTGGTTGATCACGACAAAAAACATCGCGCCGGCGAACGACTGAATCCCGGGCTGATCCTTCTTCAGCTGAAGGTATATCAGCCCCACGATGACCGCGATGAACAGCGTCTGACCCACGCGGGCCTTGAACCCGAGCGTATCACGAACAAGACGAGTTACATTGCGCTTGCACAGGACCGAGAGCTGCCCGGCGACGCCCAAGTGCGAGCTTTCAAACGTCTTCCCTTCGTCCTCCGACGTCGTATCCGACGTAGTCTCTGACGGCGC